AAAAAATAGCTGTTTTTTTTTAATGTAAAAATGTTTAAAAAATTTTAGGTGCAATTGATTTGATTGTTGTGGAGCAGCCAGATGGGTCATATTTATCTACTCCATTTCATGTCAGATTTGGAAAATATGGTGTTCTAAATAGTGATGAGAAAGTTGGTGAAATTTTTAAAGATTTTGGATCTTCATTTAAATCTACGTAAAGTAATTTATTTTCGTTCGTTAATATCCTTGTTTTTCTAAATTTGTATGGTGAATTTTTCATGATCTCGATTTATTTCAGTATGTAGACATAACAGTTAACGGTGAAGAAATCGATTTGAAAATGAAACTTGGGGAAAATGGTGTTGCTTTCTTTGCAGAACCAACTACAGATGCTGATGTTCCAGAGTATTTGGTAACAAGTCCAGTTCCAGGAAGTGATTCGTCTCCAGTTGATGGGGAGGTATTATGAAAAGTTTTTTGGTATTGACGTGCCAAAAATTGAATTGTAATGGAATAACTCTTTTGCAAATTTTATAAAAAATTTAAGGATCTTGCCGCAAGAATAAAAAAAATTCATCAAGGACTACCGCATTCTAGACACACGAAGTCATTATCGGAATGTTCCAGTTCCTATTCCGCTTCGATTTCACGGTTTATTTTTTCAAATATTGTATGCAATGTTTTTTTTTTTGCACAAGTATATTTAAAAAAGCTATGAACATTGGGATAATAAATCTAGTTAGAGGTGATATAAATATTTTTTGTTTTTTTTTCAAATTCATTTGCAGTTTTATTGCAGTGAGCCTTCTTGTGAGCTAGACTCTCAACACAGAAAGTCGCTTCCTTTTAAAGCATCGCTATTCAGTCAGCGAAGTAAGCGGTCTTTACCAAATCTTACGGAACTTATTGAAGATCATGGCCAAAGGAATAATAGGAAAAATGCAAATAATACAAAGTCAAGTTTAAAATTTTTGTAGAATTGTACTTTCTCATTAAACAAAGTTAGTATTGAAAATCACAGAAGTTTCAGCTCCAATACTCATTGTATAGTAACATTTATTTTTCGCTGTAGTTCAAATTTCAGAATTTGTAAATGAAATCGGAATCACTAGTTTCATAGTTATGACATTAAATTTTAGGTTGGACACAAATTCTCATTCAGTTGCTATGCGACGTAGCTTATCCCCTCCAAATCCTACTTTTCGCATGAGAAATTCGAATGCGTTCATGAAATCAAGAAGAAAATTATCAAGTTCTACAAATGAGGTATTTTATTGCACATACAGTGACGATTTGGTCCTTTAATATACGTTTTTTAAGCAATTAGTTACAAATTATTCTCTAAATTAATTTATTCTATTACTTTTTGAATTAATATTTTTTTGATATAGCTTTCAGGAAAGTGATGTTGATGAGGCGGGCTCAGCCGTTTCTGTCAGTAGTGCGTCATCAGATCAAGATCATTTGAAAATTCCTGGGATTGTAATGACAGATGGCGCACTTTCAGATTCTGAACTTGATTTACATCGGGACACTACACAGCCAGTTAGTTTGATTTGTCGAATTTCGTTTTTGAGGACTATTTTTTCAGTAAACTTGAGAAGTTATTCCTTCTTGTTTGATCTTATTTTGAACTTCAGCACAAAAGTGATGTAGTAATGTGGAAATGGGGGGAATTACCTAAAACGCGGGAAGAGACCGAAAAAGCAAAGACGAAGCAGGAAAGTGATTTGAAAGCTGAAGAAAATAAAGCAGCCTCTACTTGGGGTGGTTGGTTCCCTTGGTCACGTTCCAAGCCTTCTAAAGATCATGACCAAGGAGTTTATTTGGATGATCTTGTGCGAGCTGTCAATGATCCGAGTAAAATTGAAAAATATCTAAGAATGTCACCTCCTACTGCATGGTAATGGTTATCCTGCAATATTTAGCAAATTTGCTAACTTTATCCAAATAGCAAAACTTGAGTAGCTGGGGATGAAGGTTATTTAAATATTCATTAGTCTTAAAAATATTTATTGATTCTGTTACTTGTCTGATTTTTCTGTTATATTTTTACCTGTGATTTTATTATTGTCATAGAATGCATCTACTTAAAACCTTCAAAGATTTTGTGTGAGTAAGAAAGCATTTACAATAAGTAATATAAATTTTAAATCCCTTTACAGGATAAAGTTATGACTTTTTTCATTTCAGTTCTTCACCACCTTATGACAGTGGAAATGGCTCAGTAACAGGTTCAAACTTTCCGTCAAAAACAATTGATATTGCAAGGGAAGGCAACAACGAACAACAGATGCAGCCAACTTCACTAACTGAAAATCAGAGCAAGGTTCATCTTTAGTATTTTTTTAACCTTTCTCTAGTGGAAAACTATCTCTCACATTAGAGAGATTAAGTATAGGTTGTTAATTCGAACTTCCATATATTGTATACTATTTAAAAGTTTGCAGGAAAGTGAAAATAAACAATGCTCAAATACCAAAAATTTTGTTCCCCATTCTACTGGACATGAATCCACATCTGAAAATCATGAAGCGAATGATCGGAAAACAGTGCGCAGTATAACACCTTCTAGCGATATTTTGTTAGTTATTATTGTCATATGGATTCTATCCTTTACAACCGTAAAAAAATAAGACTTTTCTTACTTCCTCTTGCAGTTTGATGAGTGATGAAGAAGCAGATAATGCCGAACCTTGCCAACGAAATGCATCTACCGGTGGAATCTCAAAATCTGCGGGTGTAGTTTCAGAATCTACGGGTGGAGTCTCAAAATATATTCGTTCTCTAAGGCTCTCTAGTAATAAACTGAAAAAATTGGGATTGCGTTTGGGAGCTAATGAAGCTCGGTTTTCAATTACTACTAAATTTCAGGTTTCGTACTTATTTGTCAGTATTTGCAAATTTTTTAAAACATTTATATGGACTCATTATGGACTGTTTTATAAAATATTTCTTAATATATAATCTATAGTTTTTAGGGGACCACATGGTGCAGCTGCCATATTTATTTGTATAAATGGACGGAACGTTTAGTCATCTCGGATATAGATGGAACTATCACCAAAAGTGATGTTTTAGGGCATGTTATACCAGCTATTGGAGGGCAGTGGGCCCATGCAGGAGTTGCTGAACTTTATACTAGGATCAAGGAAAACGGGTATAATATTAATTTTTATCAAAAGAAGTTTTGACATTAGTTTTTATTTTCACTTAATTAGATTGTTCATTTGTCTTCAGCTACCAGTTAGTTTATTTATCATCTCGAGCTATTGGGCAAAGTTATTCTACAAAAAAATACCTGCAAAGTATTGCGCAGAACGCGAAGTTCTTACCTGATGGCCCACTTCTGCTTTCACCTACATCCGTTCTTATGGCTTTTAGAAGGTTTTCTCAAGAATTTGTATTCCCTATATATCTGATTTTTTTAATTTGTAAATTTAAAATTTAACTTTTTTATCAAGGCTGTAAATGATTTTACTTAATTTTTGTATAATCTGCATCACTCAGCTTTATGCAGCTGTATTAAATTTATTCTGTGATTTTAAGAGAAGTCATCGATCGCAAGCCAGAAGAATTCAAGATAGCAGCTTTAACAGATTTAAAAGAATGTTTTCCGGTGAAACGACCGTTCTACGCTGGGTTTGGAAATCGCGAAACAGTAAGTTTTCATGTCCTAGTAATCTGTTATGCATATTTAGTTCGTATTACGGATTACTTTTTTTTGATCTCAATAAAATCATCTGTTTTAATTTAGGATGTGGTAAGCTATCGAGCAGTGGACATACCACCGGACAGAATATTAATCATTGATAAGCAGGGTCGTGTTAGACGTGCTGATTCAATTGGATATGAAACATCATTCATGTCGCTAGCAACAGAAACCGTGGATTACATTTTTCCTCCTTTGACTCGTCGAAAAAATACCTCAGGGGAACAAAAGAAAAATTCATCGTACTTGGCTCCGTCATTTTTCAAATCTCACGGATATAGGTTTGTTTTATTATTCTGAAATTGTTGTAATTTCTTCAGTGTTTGTGTCTTATTTTTTAAACTTATTATAGTGACTTTACCTATTGGCAGACAAAGGCAGGTTCTGTTGCTTATCTAGATGATAAGACCTTAGAGAATTACGAGGGCAAACGAACAAATTCACGTGGAAAACGGAAGAAAAAATAAGTTTTATGCCTATTAATAGATGTATTATGAACTGTGTGTAAATTATCATTAAGTGGATAATTGTCTATGTACGTTTGCAAATTTCATTTTAAAGTTCATTAACTGTGAAAGAAATTGCTTAGAGTAAAATATTATTTTGTGATTTGTTTATCAATTTTTGAATTTTTCGAAAGTGTATCCCATTTTGCTAACGTATCAGCCTTCGAAATATTTAGTGGATTTTTCATAACTCAGCCTAAATTTTGCACAGTTCTTTCAAATTAGCATCAGAAAGTTATGAACAGTTCAATCTTTCCTTGGTAATTGAACTACCCTCAAATCTTCATCTATTTCTTTATAATCACTTATAAAATGGTGTGTTTTTATTTACTTGTAAAAAAATTTTGTAACATACCGGTATATTTTCAGCAATCTGTATTTTCAAATTTAGAATTAAGGATTGTACATTTTATGACTTTCAGCTGTCTGCATTTTTTTCTTCTCATTGTAAATGAAAGGAAGTGTAAAAATGAAAAAGTTAGTTGCATATGTATATTTTCTGTAAATAGCAATTTGTGAGATATGATGATATTTTAAATAAATCAAAGCAATAAACTTTACATTTGCTAAAATTTCTGCTAAATTTGTATTAAGCGATAAAAATAAATGCTGCAAAAAATTGTAAATAATCAAAACTAGCAACAGTTTAAAACTCATTATCGTTTATGGATGTGAGTGAGTACAGTAAGACCAGGCACAAAAAATGAAATATTTATTAGGTGAGGTAAAAAAAATGATATACCCGTACGTCAAAAAGGAAAAAGCTACGTAATACATGACGGCACCTTTAGTTTGTGGTGCTAACTTAAGCACTGATTATTCGTATAAAATTAAAGTACGAAGGCGGTAGAATGTTATCACTCTATTTTTTCCATATTTTTTCATACAAATTATTCTGATTTGAGACTTGATAGAATTACGAGAATCAAATTTTAAATGAGTGATATTCATTAAATTTGCCAGTAGAATAACTATACTCATGAGGATGTGTCTTGAAAATCTGAGTAGAGTAATATGGAAAAGTTAGCTACTGATTAACTTACTTCTTTCGAATATAATTGTGAATGCATAAAATAGTGTAAAACGAATTATTCACTGCTGAATTATTCAATTTATACCTACTAAACTACATTTGATCGTACATTACTGAATTGATCTTTGTGTTGTCAACTATCTTCGCTCGGAAAGAAAACTAATACTAAATTTGCTCAATAAGACATCTCAAAAAACAACAGTGCAAAAGTAGTATCAAAGAATTACAGATGGCGAGTACTATTGACACATATCATTAGTGAATGATGCAAACATTTTGACATGTCGATCAGAAGAGTAATGTTGTTGAAGAGCCCAGTCGTATGGTGGAGGTACGACATCTGTGTAATGAGGTGGTAGATCAATTACGTATACATTTGTATCATGTCGAACCCCTATAAATTGTTAAATGAATCAAGCAGTATTGACAAGAAATTGCCATCAAATTGTGATTCTGGATGTCAAAGAATAGTTTAATTAGATGCAGACACATAATTCTTACTGTTACGGAATCAAAATAAAAAGTAAATTGCATTTTTCTCAACATTTGTAAGCTTATTGACACGATAACCAATTTATATGATGCGTGAATCTTGACGTATCAAATCTTTGATAGGTATCAAAATTTTCACTGATATTATCAATAACAAAGTAAAGTTATTCTTAATACGACCCCATAATAATGTTTACTTATTATTTTTTACTTTCAGTAATTGAAGTGAAGTATATATCATATTTTTTGAAGTCATTAAGGAAGAATTTGTGTAAGAATTATTGATTCTCAAAAACCTTGCGCAGTATTTATCGAAAAATTAACATTTTTATAAATTTGTTTGCAATTTACTACAATATTTAAATATTATCAAGCAATATTTTGCAAGATATATGAATAACGTGTAACTTTTCATAAGTGACATTGTAATAAGCAAGTATTCATTAATTAAATAAATTTAAATTGATTGAATTACCAAATAAAGCTAAATCACTTGTGAAACAATTGTGACTTACTGCGAGAAAAGCTTACCAAGACGAGCTTTGGAAACGTTTATAGTGAAGAAGAGAACAAATGAACCGACGATGAAACCGATAAATGCAAATAGTATGTAAAGATCGTAATACATCCTGGACATTTCTAAATTACTATCAGTTTCTTCAGCAGATGCAAATCTCACAAAAATGAAAACTTCACTCGGTTTACTTCGATGCATTTGTCAGATTAAGTCTAAAATTAGCTAACTCACAAAGTTTCAAAAGTTCTAACAACAAATGTTTGCTTTGTTTTATTCACAGATTTACGAATTTATTTGTTTTTATATAATTATTACTCTTTTTTTTATTTTTAATAAAGTGAAGTTATAGAATAAAAAGAAACAACTTACGATCAGCTTTTACAGTGGGAATGATGTTATCGAGAAGCGTAGAATTCTCAAGCAGATACATGCCGATAATATTTACAAGGCACGAAACGAATACAGTAGTACTACTTCACAAATAACTTTTAAGCTGATAAAGTAATGTGACTGTAAGAATAATCACCCAAAAGCTGCTAAATTTTCCTTGCTACAAGATGCGATTCATTACTGATTGTAATCAATGATGCAGTTAACAAATATGAGTTGATTACTACTTTGGAAATTCAAATTGTTGTGCCAGCACTGAATATTTGCAAAATATTTTACATTTATATCTGTATTCCATGTTTCTTCGCATTAAAATTTATAATAATATGCAAACATTTAATATTTTATAAAAAATAATAATAATACTTTTAAATTTAATTAAGTGTATAAACATAATAAAATACACGTACGTATTAATCAGGTTTTCAGAAATCCTTGAAAATATAATAGAGTTAAGAAAGAATTCATTTTTCAAATTTCAAAAAAAAAGCACACAAAGCGTTACTATCAAAATTTTAACGTGTACAATACATTTGGTCTAAAATGTGCTTGCGATGCATTTAAATGCAAACGAGATGCAAACAAACTTTGCAAGCTGACTCCATGATGTTATGGAGGTCGCTGTCCTCTTCGTTATTATCATTACTGTAATAATGTCATCTTGCAAACAACTTGAACGAATGCAAGCAAACATTATTGATGCCGTAAAACACGTGAATCGTTGGTATTATACACATGCACTTTGACAAACTTCCGTTGCTGTCACAAATATTCAAGAATAAATTTTGTAGACCAATAATTCAAGCAAACTATAATTTGGATGCGTGAGAGGAAGAAAAAATTTCAGATAGAAAATTATATAAAAAGAAATGCAATTCTATCGATAATAATCAAAGTTAATGAATGCTAATTACTTACTATTCGTTGATGATAATAAATTCAAAAGAAATGTGCACAGATCTTTCATAGACTTAAAAATGTTCATAATTTTGAATGCAGTACTGGATATAAGTAATAACTGTCATGTCGAAGCATTTTTAATTTATGCCGAAATAACAAAATACTTTAAAAAATTATCAAAAAATAAATTTAATATTACCTTTTTTGCTATTTAATATTCTCAATATTTCATGAGCTTAATAGTTTAGTAAAATATGTGCAACTGACTGTTCAACATTTTCTGTACACGTTTTCACGTGGAAATATACATTTCACGTTTTTGATACAAACTGCTACTGCTTGCTTTGTTTGATGATTGTGAAAATGACAAAATTTGAAATATGCAAATAATCTCTATAATTGACTATACTGCTATTCACATTGCATTTTTGCAGTGAATTCATAATTAAGGGGTTGATTTTTGCATATTTTAGATTCTGTCACTTTCACTACCATTAAGAAAAAAGAAATAGTTTGTAAAACCTTCACACACACGTGAATGTAATGTTCGTAACAACACATAACATGTTTGCATAATAGTTTGGTACATAAATTTGTATTCTTTCGTTCTTATTCTTTTCTCCATTACAAACATTAAGTAATTTTTCTTTTGAGTCCAGTTTTTTAGAAATTTTCACTAAAACGAAAACTAATTCCTAGAAAAACTGCTTTTTTCTAACTTTAAGTCTCATTAATTTGTGTACAAACTCAATTTAAAATGACTTTTCTTTCAAATAACAAATAAATACATATTTGCAGTTATGCTATTTTTGTCACAATTTTTTTAGCATTTTAACAGCGATACTTATCCCTAAATGGTAATTGTTGAAGATATTTATTCGTCCACTCAAGAATTTCTCGTATTCTTCACTACTGGAATTAGTAATACTTCAATGAGTCTAAATTTATCAATAATAAGTATTTCAAACGTAGTTACTAATAGAATATACTGTTGAAGTGCAATTTTCAAGCTTAATTAAGCTAATTCTAGCTTGAAATCCTTTTAACTAAAATATTAGAATATATGCAAAATCGCTGAGTTCAGCTAAGCTGACTGAGTATACGTTCGTTACTTGGCAAACCATCACATGAATTCATTCATTTTCATTCACAGAAGTAGTCATTTTAAGTGTGAAGTAAATATTTGCACAAATGATTACTGTTGGTAAAATCTGCTCGCATGTAATTCACATGTAATACAATGAAGAACAAAAATGCATTTTTCATGAAAAAAGATTAAAAAAAAACATTTCTCCGCACATTTATTTCTTTATTAACTTCACAAGCAAAGAAAAAAACTAGCTAGTAATTATCACAAGAAAATAAGGCGTTATTTGCTTAATTCAGAAGGCTAACAACGCAGAAAACTTATTGTTTACGCAGCTTGCCGAAAATTGATCAAGATCACTTTCATTATTCCTGGAATAAACAAATGAAATAATCTCCTGAAAATAATTTACAGACAATTAAATTATCAACAAAGTCCTCCCAACACTGTATTCCAGCATCCAAACATTCGTATTTACATACTGATCATTCACAATATGACATGAGCCAGCAAATATGCAGTTAATACTGCATTCAACGGTGCTTCAGTTCGACATGTAACAAAATGCTATGCGTGTATGCAGCAACTTGCAGCAAATTCTAATCAGAAAATGTGTTTTTGCTGATCAACTGTAGTAAACCCAGATGAGCATTTATTCCGCAACAAATTTTAATGGATTCTACTTGCTAGTGAGACAAGGGAAAATTAATCCATACATTTACACTGATAATCCATACATTTAAACGCATTGCTCAACTGACATTTCATATATGCATAAACAAGATTCGTTCTAAAAATTGCTCAAATTTTATTATCCACTTCAAAATTTATTTCTCACAATACTTAACGATATACAGTCAGCATATTTGATACTTAAAAGACTTCTTATACAAAATGAAATAAACTTTTCAGATTCAATCATAAAGTGAAAATATAATTAAAATAAATAGATAGGAAGCCAAATGACGAAACAGAATATGGAAGGCCGAATCGCTCTTTCTACAATGATATTAACAACAAAATAATCATGACAAAATTAGTGAAAATCACAAACAATAATAAAATAGATGAATGACAACGTTTTTAAACAGAAATATTAGAGTATAAAAAGGAAAGTAACATCCATATTTATAAAAAACTGGGCTAAAAATGACAAAACAACTATATTTATGTGCACAATAAAATATTTAATCTATGAACATAATCAAAGACTTGAAAACAAGGCAGATAAAAAGCATCACATATCACAGTTTAAATTGAGTCCATCAGAAATGAATAAATAATATTTAGTTGTCAAATCAAAATTCAACTATATAAATCCCACTTTATAAAAAGATAATATTTGATACAAAGATATCAATAATAATTACTGCATTTAATTTCAAGCAATCCCATTGGAAACTTTGAACTTTTAGAAAAAATTGTAATACATATTAGTAAACTCTTTTCTAATGGAAATAAAATTTTGACGACTGTTTTAACTGGTAAGAAGTATACTTATATCAGAACTTGGATCATAAATTAATGCGAACAATGAATTCAATCTGCAAACACTATGACGATCAACGGAACGATCGTGCTCGAGAAATTCCTACCAGTTTACTAAATTATGGCAAACTGAGAACACACATGAGCGATAATTATCATGCAGATGTCAAAAAGAATTAAACGTTCAAAGACAATAAAATTATTTAAAAAAACACCCGTTATAAAGTAATGGAAGAAAGATAGGAAACAAAATGTGTTATTATGCAATGAAGATTGTGCAAAGTAAACCGGCGCAACAACTTAGTAAGTAAGTAAAGCACTAGTTTGAAATTGTTTAACACAGTCTACTAAGACCTTCTTGGAGGTCAAGTTTTCGGGAATGAAAAGTCTGGTTCTTTGAAACGTTAAAAAAATTTTTGAAAGGAGGTTCAATTTTGCTAGTTTCTTCCTATAAACAACTGATAAATTGAATAACGAACACAGTCATATACCATACACATACGATACACCAAGTTATACACCATCCAACTTCACAGATCTGAAAGTAGTTGGTTGAGCAGTAGAGTAGTCCGTTCTCTCACAATAAATGAAAACAAATTCTAACAAAAAAATGATTTACAATTTCTTCTTTATCATATCATCATCACGTATATGCCCGACATATATATTATGCCTTCCTGCTCATACATTACAATGGCAACTAAGAAATTTTCAACACTATGAATTTCAACTGAACATTGAAATAGCGACTGAAAATATTTTGAGATTTCAGAAAAAAATCTCTAATATATATATCTCTGAAGAAAAACGAACAAATGCATCAAAATAAACACTTCTAGATCTAAAACTGACGATTTTGCTGCTTCCGTTTGTATGTTTTGGGTGGTAAAGGAGGAGGAGGTGAATTACAATTCACTTCTACATCACTTTTCCCATCAAGCAATTCTTGACATTTTTTGCTGTTCAGCCTAAAATAAATTAATCTAACAAGCAACTAATTAATAACAGTTTCTGTGTCATCATAAAAGTATACATTTTCATGAGGGTAAGAAAAATGGCTGAGAAAATTTACGTTTTTGGTGGTCTTGGGGGTGGTTCCAAGGGATGAGTCTTCCGTGGATATAACCTAGGCCCTTCAATTGTGGTTCCAATATTATTCAAAGCTGATACTGATGACGACGGTAGTGGTGATAGCGTGGCAGCGTTCATATCAGATACTGTTGGTCTATTTTCCCTATACATAAAAAATACAAGCATCATAATTACATTTGATAATAATTGAAATTTTCATGAAAACAACCCCGAAATATTTTATTTACCAGAACAGATCGCAACAATAAAATCTATTACCCATCCCAAACAGTTAGCATAGTAACATCGGAGAGTGGAGATGGTAACTTTTCAACTTTCTTCCTTGGTGGAACTGTTGGAGCAGCTAAGGGACGAATCATGGGCGTCACTGTAATTGGAACACTTCCAAGAGTTGCTCGAGAACAAGCTGCGCTTCCTCCATGAGGAGGGAAAACAAATGAGTCTGAAAATAATGTATTTAAAAATTAAAAAAGGACCTTTAAAAAATGAAAGTTCCTGGAAATAATAATAGGCATTTTTTCCATTCAAAAAATTTGAGAACAAAGCTTATCGAGCTAGAGAAAAAAAAATAAGAATAAGACTGATATGTTTGAGTAAAAAGGAAAATATCAGTATACAATGACTTCATGTACACATACCTACTGGACTAACGGAACAGAATGGTGCTGAATGAGGTGGGATTGATTCATTCAAAGTTGGAGATAGGTGAGGTAATACTTTAAACGGTGTCGGGGGTGCAGGTTGTTCTAAACTCGACAATTTTCGAGGATATAGGGGAGGTGGCGATGAGCTGGGAGAATGGTCGATTAATTTTGATTGAGGGCTTGGAGGTGTTGAAGAAGCTTTGTCATTGCGATGTCTAACTCTTGGCATTATCGGTGGCGCTCGCGATTCAGTTGGAGAAGTAACCGTTGATTGAGTACCACGTTTCGCATCACCAAGATACCGCGGCTGCTGACCTGTATATGCAAATACATAAATACTCAGATTCGCACATTATCTCAACATTAATAAAACTGGCCCAAGATAACTTGAATCCTAATTGCTCATCACTGAAAAAGTATAAATTAAAATTCAACCTGGATTAATTTCAACCATTCCCAGATGAGAATTCCTATCCTCCAAAATCGATAAAAAGTTCGGACGTGATCTGAAAAACAAATTGTTAACTGGCAATGGAATTTCTGACATCTGTAACATACCCGATAAAAACATACGTTTTAATAACTTGAATTCCTCTTGCTGTAACTACCAGTGAAAAAAATTTCTTTCAAATTACTTTTCATATCACCAAGAAAAAGAAACTGACGAATTAATTATTCAGTTATTTTCTCATGACAATATTTAAAATAACTTGATCATTAATAGAGAGATTTCGATTAAAACAAATATGAACGATAAGAAAATAATTGGTTACGGAAATCGTTGAGTATTGCCCAACTGTGATAAATACTCAATCTATTTTTTCTACAAACAAGCTCCATAAACAACTAATTAATCACTAGTTGAACGGATACTCAGCAAAACTAAAATTATATTGCAGCACGAAACAAAATAATCCCGCCTGTTTATAAGTGAGAAAAAAATACAGAATTAAAGAAGTATCTTTTAGTAAACTACAAATAAACAACATTACATGACACAAAAAGCATGCTCTAAACTGCTGTCCTTCAATGGACTTTCTGAACTAATAATTATTATTAACTTCATTAGAGTGTAGGAATACCGCTCGCACTGACTTCTAATTTACAGAATAGAAATCAAGTGCTTGCTGCAATTATTTACGCTATGCAGAAAAAGAGTTGAGTACAACCAAACTTTATCTAGATGAAAGGATTTATTTATCGAATATTTCATGATTTTTTAAAGCTGAAGATAAAAATCAGTATTGCAAGTGCTGCTTCCTTCTCTTATCAGAGTATGTGAAATGATGATGTGAATAAACTTGGGTGAAACTATTTATCATGTAAATGCATGAGAGTTTCAACACCAGTTTTAGTACAAAAATTTAGCTGAGATTATATAAAAATGATATTAAAAAATATAAAGAAAGCATCGATGTGATAAACTTACACGTCAGATGAATGAGACACATTAGAACTGTAATTATTATGAGCTGTGAAACCTCGCCCACTTGCACGATGACCTGAGTAGTGATTCGATGGTCCACTTACTGATGGAACAGATGAGATTGCTTTGGGAGGTTTGATGCCTGGCGATTTCAAAACTTGGACTGGTCTTGATGGCTTCTGTAAATAGAACTAACAACACAAACATAATCCGAAAGTTAAATTCTTTAGCAAACATTCGCAGTAACTTCATTTCAATTAAATAACTTTCAATTACAAGTAAAATTTTTCCTTTGGAAAATAAAATTATTCCTCATTTTCATAAATAACTAATATAAATGGTTTTCCAGTATGGAGAAAGTCAAGTCATTGTTATAATTTTGATTTAAACTACACATCTGAAAATTATTGTAGTTTCCGAAGCTTCACTATTGTACAATATTTCATAGTTTTGTTCAACAAAATTCAGTCTGATCCAGATGAAACTGACTACTTTATAAGTAATACATCAAGAAGTTGACTTGAAATAAAAATAATTTTGAATTTTTATGACTACTCGTTTTGCAATTATTTTGAAAAAAATAAAAAATAATGCATTCTAAAGCGAAGTTTGATATAAAGTAATCTCAAGGGCAGAAAAAGAAAAAGCATCACATAGAGAAGCATTAAAAACAAAAATGATTCAGATTTTGATAGGCAATTAGCATGTCTGGAAGAGCTAACTCGGATACACTGCGAGCAAAATAATTTGCTGGAGAGAATTATAATATACTGAATTTCAGTCGTCAGAAATATCGAGCATATAATTTTAATTAAGATTAGCATTTTATTTAATGGCATGTTAAAAGGGGCAGAAGCAATTAAAATCGTTCACATTTCTTTTCTTGTATCCAACCCATAACACTAAATCAATCTTTTTTAAATGCTCTACTCTCAGATTACTGGCAATGCCAATTTAATCAAGTAAACTAAGGAATACACAGAAAGTCATTTGATAGCCAGACTCTGAGATACTTACAATGACTTCCATTTTATCTGGATCCTTAGGTTCGACCTTCAGTGACTGCTCCCACATGTAAGTTTCTAATGCTTCTTTTCCATCAAAACCATTTAGAGGGTTTATAGTCTCGAAGAAATGCTGAAAAGTTGCTAGTGTTAAATTCAAGCATAAATATAGTATAAAGAATACAAGATACAAGTTTAAAAGTATTTTAAAGGAACCAAATCAGACCTGAAATTAGCAATTCTTGTATACTACAGCTTGATGAAATTAAAATAGATGTAAGCTGACTACAAATACATGACTGACCTTTAGATTATGACCTCTGGTGCAAAAAACAAATGATACAGTTCAAAAAAATAAAAAAGAAAGAACGATTTACGATGAAATGTATTCCCGATATGAATAATCACATTTTGGCATAACATAATTACAATTATCTTTACTCGAAACAATTCAACAGTCATCTACACCGTACAGTTTTTGAATTTGACAAGACTTTATTATTAGTGACATTTATGCAATAACAGCTACTCGCATTCAAAAATTCCTTAGAACTGTTTGCTTTCTCAGTAAGGCAACATCAGTTTGACGGCGACGAATACTCGATGGTTGCTTAGTTGTACATTACAAACAGCACTGATTAGTAAAATTAGCCCCAAAGAGATGCTCGTTGAGAATTTTATGAATATAAATATATATCAAATTATTTAAGATATAATAATCAATATTTCCTCTTGGTTTTATAATGATCCAACCTTCATTCTATTCTAATACATGTACGGTCATTATGCTCGTTTTTTCAGTCTCATTATTTTATTCAATTTTGAATATTTGTTTTTCATCTAATTAGCAAACCAAAATCACCAATTTAAGCAAAATTAGTTACGTAATTTACAAAAGAAAGGCACAAATAATAGAAAAAAGAATTGAGAAAAATAATCAAGAGAGAACTGCAAGAGATGGATGAAAAAAACAAATATACACAAACATACATCATAAGATGAAATTGATGTTATTCACTGAAATGACGAAGTACATTAACTACCATAATAATAATTAATAATGTAGTTGATTGTGTCTGCTTTTGAAATATATAGATGGATTGAACTGAATTAAGTGGGAATAAACAATTGTCAAAGTAGAAGAGCAGAATCAGAACTACACTTATGCGAGACTAAGTAAGAAACTAACTAGCAATAAATTATCTATCTATACTTGCAACAGCAACAGCAACAGCAATAGCAATAGCAATAATATTAAAAGCAACTATAAATAAATGCAAAATGGAAATACTGTGTGTGGGAGAGGTGGAAAAGCACCGGAAGTGATTAATTAGCAAATAGAAATGAAATGAATGGAATGGAATGAGTAAGCGAAATGAATGCCAATCGGAAGGTATATCAGAAAATGGAGCAAAAAAGATAGCAGAACATGCTACCCACATCTGATGAACACGATGAATAAGTTAGAAAGATAGATGAGTAGACGTTAAGACGCTGACTTGAAACGACATCAGCAGGCAAATCAAGACAAACAGATGCTTCTTTCAATCGAGGAGAAACTCACTCACTTTCATACCACTACTAAACCTCCCCAGTAATGTCTCCATCATTCATACTGAAATAATTATTGCGTAGCAGCATGAGAATTCAGTACGCTGCTGCTTTACATATTCTATACTCTACTCTATCACCTGCATAACTAACTTATTACCAGCTCTTAATTAATTAATTAATTAACAGATTCCTATACTTCTTTTTCATTCATGTATTTATCAACTTACTTAACCAACAAGATGGTTGCCGTGTTGTAACCACTACTATTACAATCATATTATTTATCAAATCACTTATCATTAATTCAGTGTAAACATTTAACATAACTATCACCAAACTTATTTCTTTTAATACCAAATTAACACACCATAACACATTTAATCACTTACACAAACTATCGAAAATATCGTTACACCTTTCCAGCGTAATTTCTGATCTGCATCACCCATACTTATATTTAGTCAATCAACACCATAATAAGTCATTTATAATTAAATGCAATCATGGCGAATTATCTTTACGATATATCTGCTAAGAAACGTTATAAGTTACTTACTGTATAACTTATTAGGTAAAATTATTTACTAATATTACCCTTTAATAACTTACTCTCACTATGAAATATTTAGCTGTCACTCTTCTTACTCACTTTAGTTACAAAACTACACTCAAAATTCGATAACAATACTGTTCCCTTTTCTCAGAATTATATGAACAAATGTGTAATTAATATTTTTACACAAAACGTGAAGCAAACAAAATTTGGATTTCTTTAATGTTTTTTTCTCAAAGTTTTAGGATGTAAATTCACCATAAAAACTTTAGCATGAATTTCTGTGATACTGCAAGTACATAATGACAACCTCTTGCTCCCTAGTCCATTAAGGGAACAGAGCTCATATCTATGAAATTCTTTCAACCACTTTCCACCTTTTATTCCTTCTGTTAATTCATGCGCATTCACAACTTCGGAATTCTTGAAGTTTCAAAAATAGAAATTTCGAACGTATGGACATGAAATAATGGACAGTTTGGTGCAAAAATTAGATCAAAAAATTCTCAAATGCGAGAAAAAATTGAATGATAAATACTGTAGAGAGAGACTGATGATAGTTATTTAGCTGAAATAAAATGAATCAAACATGATTATTATCATCAGAATTTGAACATGATTATTATCATTAAAATTAGGCTTTGCGAAACGACATCAAAAATATTTATGAAAGCAACTGGTTTATTTTCATTAAAGTGTTTTCAATGCTTGTATCTGACACATCCTTCGACATCCATGATCACACGCTTACTTTTAAATATTACCAACAATATTAGTCTTTCACGATATATAATATAAGTGCGCAATATATAAAAACAGATTGTGGTGAATGTAATAGATAATCTGAAAACTTGCGCTCATCAAAATAGCAAAAATGACTGCAGTGAACCTTTGCAATTCTTCATCTTATACGTACTTTCCCGCTTGGTAACAAAAGCATCGAAATTCCATTACGAAACAAATTTAATAACTCTACTATCTATACATGAGCATTCCCGTTATCCTAATAAACTAAATATGCAGATTTTGCTTCACATTTCTCGTCATGCACTATTAATATTTCAAAAATAAGATCATATATACAACTAACAAATGAACAGATCAAGATTACATTTACTTAGAAAACCAATTACAGTGATTTCAACGGTACTTTGATTATGTCAAAAACCGAAAGCAGTGACAGTTGACAAATAATGACATTCAGGATTTGTAAAACACAGTACCTTATATGTCAACTAAATACACGAATTTTTCAAAGTTATATGAGTGAGTAACAAACATTCGTCAGCATATTACTCACAATTACACATTCAAGCAGCCCTAAAAGAAAAAAAGTCAAAAATACTATTAACCATTACAACGCAATGACTAATGAGGAATTTGAATTATCTTCATTCCGAGTCCATAATATAAAGAGCAGATAATTTGCTTACCATTATAATACAGTATTGAAAATGGTAATTACAAACTCAGTGATACTCCCTACTAACTACTTTTGTTGTTCCGGACAAATTATTCTTACTGAATTAACACTTCAGAGTAATAAAATAAAGCACTAAACTGTATGTCTGTTTTGATTACATTTAGTACTAGCCACTTAATCAAAATACAGCTTCCTCTAAATTGTGCGTCATTTTGAAGCTCATGACTTTGTCAACACCTCAATCATCTCAATTTCAATTCCGTTTTCTGGATATGCTAGTGTTACTGTCACTTTTGTTTCTTACACATGATACCACGAAACTGCACTTAAGTCACATGGACTTTTTCCTGATAAACTTTAATTAATGATCACTGACTTTTGCTGTTCTCAGCAAAGAATGACAAGTTGAAATTCCCAGAAAGAAAAAACTAAGTCTAAACATGAAGTGATTAATCAACATGTTTACGTAAAAGAGAAAGTAAAAGATGTAAACTAATGTTTGAACTACTTTTCCATATGTTTTAATTCGCACTTGCTCGCAACATACTTTTTTAATTATTCATTTGTAAAATAAAAATTGGTCTCTTACTTCCGAAATTATTATGATTAATATTTGCAAGGAAAACTTTGGAAACAAATTTTTGCTTTGACCTCACTTAGATGAAGTAAAACAATTGACTCTTACCTTAGTTTGACATAACCATCGTTTTCGTTTGCTCATCACTCTTTTATCACCAATAAGTGGTGTCGTCTCGCAATAATCAGTTAATACCATCACTTCACCATACAAAATGATAGTTCATTAATTCAATTTCATATGTAAAAATCAACGAATGCACAACGTCAACGCGTAGGGCAATCAGTAATATATATATATATATATATATATATATATATA